TATCCCCACCCAGCGGAGCTCATTCCCAGGGACTTGTCTTTCAAAAACCATTGTTTCCCATAGACTCACATGACATCATCGACGCCGAGGTAACTTGCAAGGCTGCTCAAATGGAGGTCTCCGTATCCAAGTGCAAACTCTTTCAGCTTGGCTTTGAGAGAGAGGGAGTGAGAATCAATGATCGGCGTTGCTCTGGCATCGAGGGGGAAGATTTCATCTCCTTTCAGATCAACAATACAAAAGGGAACTGTGGGAACATCGTGCAGGTGAGAAAATGGGACAGGGAGAACACTCGGTGTGGACAGGGAAGGCTGCTGGGACGCCAGGGTCCTCCCAAAGCTAACTTAAGGTTGGGATCTACTGCAAAATGTCCTCCTTAGAAAACAGCAGGAAAATAAGTAGATAGACGGATAGATAGACAGATAGATAGATGAGTGGATGGATGAATAAATAAATACGAAAAAGAAAAAGAAAACAGCAAGGCAGGAAATAAAGATGCAAAAGGAAGAAAAACAGGAAAGGACAGTCATTTCAGTGTTATGGACTTTGTAGTCACTGCAATGGCACAGAACTTGACTCATGTTTCTTTCCTTGGTTTGTTCTGTCTGCTTTGCATTCTCCGTGGACGAATTCTTCTGTCTCTCAGTTTCAGCCTCTTTTCCAATTTTGCCTAAAGGCAGCTTTAAACTTCGGCTTTGGGGGCCAGAGCATTTCTCAAATGTCCTGGCCTAGTTCCAGCTCAGCTCTGTTACAGCTCCTGAATTCCCACTGCTCCTTCGAACAGACACAGAATTCATCTTCGTTCTTTGTCCCAAACTGGGTTTGCCATTGAAAAGGGCTCTGCTGCAGAAGGGTAGCCAACTGGTAGCTACTGAGGCTTTAATGGCCCACTTTATGGATTGGTACAACTCTTATTGTCCACCTTTGGGTCACTTTGGCTCCTTAGCAGAGGGTGACAGAAGAGAGGAAGAGAAACTCCAACAAGTTACTGCTGGTGTTTAATACCAGCTCTGGTGGAAAATTTGGTAGAAGTTGAACATTTTGTCCGAGATTCTCTCTTGATTTTGATTACCCGTGGTCTCTTTCCTTGCCATAGACAATTGAGAGTTAGTCACAGTTACAATTCAGTGGTAGATGAAAGGACCTCCCCACTTGTACAAGGTTAGGAGAATGAAGGGTGCTCTCAAAAATCTATTGTGATATTTTTTTCCAGTAAATGCTTGACATCATTCTGAGACTTGCTCCAGACTGATTTATAATGGCCTCTGAGTTACAGATGGAATGAAGCTATTCTGCCACTTTCAGGGCTGCCAGCTTGAAGGACTCACTCCAGGGATTAATGATTTTTGACCTTCCTCTGTTCCCCAGTCAAATGGTACCCATATCATGTACAAAAACACAGTCTGGATCGAGAGTGCCAACAACACTGGTAACATCATCACGAGGGATCGCACGATCAGCGTGGAGTTCTCCTGTGCTTATGAACTAGACATCAAGATCTCCTTGGATTCTGTCATCAGACCAATGCTAAGGTAAAGTCTCTTGGGCCTCATGCCCTTTCCATCGGGAGTCTGAGGGATGCCATAATTTCAGTGGCCTCCTTAAGACTATGAGATCAAGAATGTCCTCATTACAAGTTCCCTAAGCATTCGCCATTCCATTGTCTTCTTTCTGTTTTCTCCTTGAAAAATGGTTAAGAGCTGGGAATAAATATAGCATTTTTGTGGCTTCCCTTCTCATGAATTGCTTACCTTATAGTGTGATTAACCTGACCGTCCCAACCCAAGAAGGCAGTTTCACCACCAAGATGGCTCTGTACAAGAATGCCTCCTACAAGCATCCTTACCGGCAGGGTGAGGTAGTGTTGACCACTCGAGATGTGCTGTACGTAGGAGTCTTCGTTGTCGGGGCGGACTCCACACACCTGATCCTGACGTTGAACAAATGTTATGCAACCCCTTCCCGGGACAGCAATGATAAGCTCAGATACTTCATCATTGAAGGAGGGTGCGTAGCCTTCTTGGGATTCAGGGGTGCTCTTTGAGTCCTTACTGTGTTATTTACCAAGGTCATTTCCTAGGTGAGCAAAATAGAGATCCTATGCTGCCTAATATAACAATAATAGTAGTAACAGTAATAGTAGCAGTAGTAGTGGTGGTGGTGGTAGTGGTGGTGGTGGTAGTAGTAGTAGTAGAAGTAGCAGTAGATGACAACTAGAATTTATATAGCACTTCAAGGTTTGTACAAATATTACTGCATTTTATCCTACAACAACCCTAGGAAATAGAGGTGATTGTAATTCCATTTTACGGATGAGGAAACTGAGGTTAAGAGACTTGGTTTCCACCACTAGCAAGGGATGCAGACCATCTCTAGATAATCTGGAAAATAACTAAGACTGGAAAGTGGGACTTACACTTTTAGTGGAAGCGATTTAATATTATCCATCTTGCCAAGGACTGATCTGGACAAGGAGAAATGAATCACATCAGGTGGGATGAAGGTTAGATAACAGGAAAATCTTCCCAACAGACAGTGACACCCACTGGTATGGGTGGCTGACCAAGATACAGGAACTTTGTTCTATAGATCTTTCAGAACGGTAGAGAGACATTATTTTTTTCCTGGAATGGTTTGCCTACCATCTTTACTGGATGCAGGGAAGTGACTTCTGACCCATTTCTCTTTTATAGCCCGAGGCTTTTGTGACTCGTGGCAAGACTTTGAAGGTAGTTGTTCTGCTTTCCCCCCCCATGTCAGCTAAAATGCATTTCTCAGTCCTTTCTTTCTTTCCTTTCCCAAAACATAAGGGCCATAACCTCAGCTCCTGTTCCTGCATGAATCCAGATGACATTACTTCTGTGTCTTTTTTGGAAGGAAATTGTAATATTTTGCATTTTGTATTAAATACCAAAAAAAAATAAGCTTTTTCCCATCTCAGCTTACCTCAGGGCTTGAATAAAGTCCTCCAGGTTAGATTTCTTTATGGGATTTATTGCAGAAAGTAATGGGACTAATTCACATACCTATTTCAGAAAAAATCATGATTTCTTCAGCATGGGTATTCCTTCCACCAATCGTCAGCATTTATAGACAAACTTCACAATAACAGAAATGATCACTGTGAGTTTTTGTCTCCATACTCTCCAAATGTAGCTGGGGCAGTCTTCCAATGACAGATAGTGCCACTGAGCTCATACTCAAAATCTTTCCGGCCAGGTAGAGACCTATGAAACCTTGTACTCTGAAGGCATAGCCTTTGAGAACTCAGAGAGCCACACAAGCCACAGTGAAGCTTCGGAGGAGGATTTTCATATGAGTTTCTATGCTAACATCAGTTCACTGGCCCTCAGGCACGAGTTAGCTATGGTCAGGTCACATGTGGCCAGCAGTGAGGGAAATGGTAGCAGCATGGGACCCACCCCATCAATTCAAGTCTGCCACTCTCTAATACCCCAGTTAGGCGTCACAATCTGCAATACGATATAACTTCCCCAGAGGCACTTCCGTGAAGGCTCAGAAGCCCGTTGACAAGTGGGTCCTCTTCTTTCGTGTCTCGAGCTAACTAGTGCCAAGGTAAATAATTATGGCTGGAATGTGTGGGTGTCTCTGTGCCAGATCAGGAAACAATGTCTCTGGGCTGCTCTCTTTGCTTACTGTAAGGCAGGCATAAAGAGAGCCCCTGTGCGCAGAAAGTGAGTTGATGGGGAAATCTCCTCATGTCCACAATCAGATCACCCCCTCTGAATAGAGTGCTTACTCCTGTTCCTGCTGGGAGCCACCATCACCTCCTCCTTCTCTAAGGCCCAGACAACATTGCCTCCACCCTCCATGGTTCCCTCCTCTATTCATTCTATTCCCTAGCTGCTATTCCAGTCATCTTTCTGCTATTCAGGGTGCTGAGTTAATTAAAAGCAAATTCTTTCATTCAGTTTGGCAAGTAATTATTAAGTACTGAGGTCTGAGGGTCAGAAAGATCTTAATTTAAAACCTTCCTCAGACACTTTCCAGACCCTCTTAATTCCAGTGCCTTCCCTCTGTTAATTATCTCCCATTTATCCTGCATGTAGCTTTTTTTTTGTATATATTTGTTGGCATACTGTCTACCTCATTAGATTAGACTGTGAGATCCTTGAGGGAAGGGACTGTCTTTTACTTCTTTTTGTATCTCCAGCATTTAGCACATAGTAGGTACTTAATAAATTGTTATTGTGTGTTTGTCCTTCATTCTCAAAGAGAAACATGACATCAGGGAGGTGATGACATGACTGCAATTGACTTTGATTTGAATGAGGGAGGGCTGTGCAAGGTCCCTAGCCTCACTTTCTCCTCCAGAGCCATCTGGGTCCAGCGGCCAGATATTCATCAGGATGACTAGAGATGGCCCAGATCAATTGTGTGACCCTGGCTAAGTCATTTAACCTCCCTGTGCCTCAGTTTCTTAATTTGTAACATGGGGATAATAGCACCTACTTAGGGTTGTTGTGAGGATTAAATGAGATACTATATATACAGCTCTGCAAACCTTAAAGTACTATATAAATACTAGGTATCATCACTTTTTTATCATCATATGCAAGGTATTCTACTAAGCACTTGAAATAGAAGACAAAGTAAAAAAAGCAGTGCATTCCCTCAAGGAGTTCATATTCTGCCGAGGGATACAGCATGAACATATGAGAAGAGAAAAAGCACTGAACAATGGGAGAATGGGGATTAGGTGGGGAGCTCATAGAGAGTTGATGGACTGGTAGAATTTAATGTTGCCTGGGCCATCTTTAAAAAGTACAAATGAATGTCAGGAAAAGAAAAAGTAGGGCTTCCAATGTTTGGTTTCCATATGTTGTCTGGGTTTTCTTTTACCTTTTCTTTCTTTGTGATGAATTTAATAATCATCAACAAAATGAACTTTTCAACACACAAAGAACAAGAAAGAGAATTCCATACAAAACAATGAGCTTTTATTATATACATTTTATGTATACATTAAATATAACATGGTAGTAGCAAAATTGTCCTATTTGTATCCCCTTCTGGACTTTTTGTTTTCTTCCATACCTTAAAAAAAAAGTAATTGATGATTCTCCCTTCCTTCCTTTCTTTTCAATCTTTAGCACCAACTCACCCTCCCCTCTCCCACATGAATAATACCCCTCCAGGGAATAAGTCAATACAGCAAATGTATTTTCACATGGCCATTTTCCTGAAAGGCAACTTTGGTTTTGCCTAATATGGTTAGACTACTGAGCTGGGAATCAGAGGACCTATTCTAGTGTTTGCTCTGTTGCATGAACCTGGGCAAGTGACAATCTCTATGGATGTCAGTTTCCCCATTTGTCAAATATAAGGATCAGACTAAGTAATTTCTCCCAATTCTATCACTTCTTGCTTCTAATTATAAAAACAAGTAAATACAAGGGGTTCTGGAGATAACTTCAGTTCTAATTATCTCTGAACCATAGGTTGGCGGCAGGGGAAGCCATAGAAAAAAGAAAATAACTATCTTCTGTTGATCGAGCATCAGTCCTTCACCATTTGGAAGAAATTCCCTGATGCCATTGCCCTCTGCTCAGAGAGCGTGATGATCGTCTTAAGGGATGCAAATGCCAAGCTTAAGGAATGCTCACTGAAGCAATGCCAGGATGTAGTTGTTAGAACCCAGGTCACATCATTTCTAAGATCGCCCTTTACTGTTCCCACTCCACTCCACCCCCACCCTGATCCAGAAGGGCTGGGCTTGGTGACCTCTAAGTTCCCTTCCAGTTCTCCATCATCCCATGATCCCTGAATCCCTGCACCAGTGGCCCTATAACATATGTGGTAAGCCTTTGTTTTTCCATGGCATGATGTTCTGATTTAGATGGATCTAGGATCTCATCCATATGGACTCTCCTTTCTCAGAAACAAATCACAACCTATCTGGTCTTACTTGTGCTGTGTATGCATGACATTGTCCTTCCATAGAGGATGCACTCAACGTTCTGGGAGTGCAACGCTTAAGCTGTTGAGCTGTTCACCTTCATTCTTGCTTCATGTCTGATCCAATTCCTTTTTCAGTCATATAGAGAGTCACTGAATCATAGATTTGGAGTTGGAAGGGATTGCAGAAGACATCTTGTCCAACCCTCTCATTTCAGAGATGAGGAAACTGAGTCCCAGAGAATGAGTTAAGTAACTTGCCCAAGGCCAAACACATAGTACATATCAGAGGCAGGAAGGAATTGAATCCAGGTCCTCTAACTTGCCCCAGCATTGCTTTGTCCTGCCTCTTTATCATGTCCTCAGTGACACCATTTGTCTCATCCCCACTGTCCACACATCTTTGACAATATGCTGCAAACTACCAGTACCCACCAAGTGTATCTTCCATTGATATTTAGGCGACTTCCAATGGAGATTCATCAGAGATCGTGGACTTCTGTGATTGGAAGTCTCATGGTAACTCAAGAAACCTGATATTATAGAAGGGTAATTAAGCTCCAGGAGTGGATGGAGAGCTATCCTCAGAATAAGGAAGAACTGGGTTCAAAATTTTATGTTGGACACTTATTGGCTGTATAACTCTGGGTAAATCTCACAGTTTCTCAGGGTCCCGGGCTACTCTAAGTGGATGAGTTGCAGATCTAGGTCTGCCTGCCACCATTTGCTCACTGGAAGGTGAGCCTATACCAACGAAATGACAGGTACTGACCCCCAAAAAATCTAACTGAAGAAATGTATTAAGTAGAGAATCATCTTCTGTTTATTAAAAATCAATCATGGGAAACTGAGGTAGAAGGGAATTCATTCTCTTTAAATCTTTATTTGCAGTTATGGTACTAATTAATAATGTGTCCTTGGTGCTTTAAAAACATATCTATGATAATATGTAACACAGAGGATGATTCCCAAACCGTAACAGTCTAGAAAGGATTGGTACAGTTACGAAGGCATTTTTTTACAAGGTCATTCCTGGTAGTTTATTGGAAGGGATGCAATTTTAAAGTGAATGTGGAAGGAATAAAGTATCAGAGGAGAAAACATGTGCCAGAAGCAAAGATAGCACTTTTCTGTCTGAGCAGGTGTCAGAATATGAAAGATAACACCATTGGCATTGAGGAAAATGGTGTGTCTCTCACCTGTCGCTTCCACGTCACGGTCTTCAAGTTCATCGGGGACTACGATGAAGTTCACCTTCACTGTGCAGTGTCACTCTGTGATTCAGAAAAATATTCCTGCAAAATTGTAAGTGAGCGACAGAGAAATGAAATTCTTCATCTTCTCTCTCCCTGCCAAGCTTTTCCCAGATGGTGGGATGTGAGGGCCAAGAACATGTGGTCTACAGAGCTCTCTGTGGCACTTGGCAAAGGCTGCATTGAGAATCCTCTCCACACCTTTGGGAAGTGAGGAGTCAGCATCAATGGGAAAGGCTTGTTTTTACTGTCTCAACACCAAAGTTATATGAGGACATACTATTACAAGCTGAGCTGCCATTCTTGATCTAAGCCAGGAGTTATGTTCCAAGCACTACCCTGGCCTAAGCCTGAACTCTTGATACTGTCTACCAGATTTTGGACAATTCAGTTCAATTCGAAAGCATTTCTCACTTTTCTTACTTACATTGCTTATTACATTACTTAATTTCTACTGTGTGCAAGGCCCTGGGCAATAACAGCTGACATCTATACCACAGCTTACCCTCCCAACAGCCTTGTGAAGCAGATGCTAATAAGTATCCCATTATCCCATTTTACAGATGAGGAAAATGAAACTCAGGAAAATTAAGTGGCTTGACCTTGGTTACATAGCTGATATCAGAGGCAAAATATGAAACCAGGTTTCCACTGATTCCAAGTCCAGCTCTCTCTCTCTCTCCAAGTCACTGAACCTCCCTGGGACTCAGTTTCCTCATCTATAAAATGAGGGAATTAGAATATCTCAATTAAGCAGCTAGGTGACACACTAGATAAGGTGCTGGGCTTAATGATCTGAATTCAAATCTTGCCTCCGATATTTGTGTGATCTGGGCAAGTCACTTATTATCTCTTAGACTCAATTTCCTCATCTATAAAATAATAGCACCTTCCTCCCAGGGTTATCGTGATAAAATATCATAATGAGATAAAATACATAAAACACCTCCCAAACCTTAAAGCACAATGTAAATGCTAGCTATGATGATAATTATGACAATCTCTCACATCTCTCTGAATTCTAACAAGCTATGGAACCATCAGGCTAAAGTCTCTTCGGCATCCTTTAGCACACCACATACTCATCTTGTACCTTGGGGTAGTACACTTGGAGGCATTTTTCTCTCCTATGCCAGGTAGTTACCTCACCACCATGCTTGTTAGGTTGGACAGAATTTTCACCTGGTACCTCACCTTCTATGCTTCATCATCATGCTCATCACGCATCTGAACTCTAAGAAGGGACTGATGATGGGAACTACACTTCCCTCCAGTCCTGCATACGTTAGCGTCTAATGAGACAAACCATCCCTCATCACTGGACAGGCAGTCCTTTATAATCTGACTCTGGTGCAGAAAATATCTCTAATTCTGTTCAACACAGAGCATTCATGCCCCCAGTGGGCTCGATGATCAAGAATGCATTGGTTTTAATTAATCTAAGCAGCAGTCACACTTGAGGCTGAAGCCATCGACTCTTTTGAGGGTAGGGATGTGGGAAAGAATAAATGATCAGCTTGAAATGATGAGATGGGCCCCCTGGCATTTTGTCTTTCAGAACTGCCCACAGAATTCCAGGATTGCCACAGATTACACAAAAGAACCCAAAGAACAGATCATTTCAGTGGGACCTATTAGGAGAAAAAGTATGTACGTTCCCCAACTACCATTAATTATTAAAGCAACATACTTCGAAGACCTAAGTTAACCTTGGGGTGTGTGCTATTGATATGTTATGAATCTGGCCAATGAATGTTTTCCTAATATTGCATGTGCGTGTGTGTGTGTGTGTGTGTGTGTGTGTGTGTGTGTGTGTGTGTGTTGGGGGCATCATTCTCAGAAGAGTTGATAACTTCCCCTCAAATAACTACTTTTGTTGTATTGTTTTCAATCACAAAAGGACTTGCTATTTCTTTTCCATCTCCTCCTTTTAAATCATTAAGTTTAAGTCCCAAATGTAATTCTTTGTGTGCAGTTTGCCTTATTGGCTGTTGATATGCATTCCTTTTAGGGCTAGACTGGTGTGAAGACAATGGCGGCTGTGAGCAGATTTGCACAAGCAGAGTGGATGGACCTCTATGCAGCTGTGTAACGGGGACCCTGCAGGAAGATGGCAAGAGCTGCAGAGGTGCCTCCTAACCCTAACTCACAGGATCCTTTGCAGGCTGCCTTTTACCCAAAAGGAGTCAACCCATTGATCTTTCTGGCAATAGCTTTAGGGAGAGGAGTAAAAAGTTAAATAAGTGATTTTATCCTTGCTAAAAGTAACTATTTAAAGTCCAACCAAATCAGTAACATAACTATGCACTTAACTGTCCCAAAGGTGATAGGGGGAATATGGAGACTGTTGAGTTTTTCTCAGGCCCATTTCTGACTCTGGATCCCCATTTATTTTCTATAAGATGGAGGTGATTCAGTTCAATTTTTTTCTGAAGTTCCTAGTATGTGCCGAGTACTGAGCTAGGCACTGAGAATAGAAAGACAACAGGGAAATGTCCAGTGCCTTCAATGAGCTTATATTCTACAGGATCAAGGAGTAGAAAGCAACAGGTACCCACAGATGTAAATACAAATACAGACACACACACACACACACACACACACACACACACACACACACATATACACACAACTTAAATACAAGAGAATGGGAGTAGGGTAGTAAGCTCTAACACTTGGGGGTGAGGCTTTATAATAAGTGTTACAATCTCTTTGGGGAAACTTACATGCCAGATGCTGAGAGGCAAAGCCCGATGACCAAAACCTTCATGCCTATGCCAATAAACTGGACCAGGTGCCCCAGGAGTGAGAATAGGATGGGGACAACTTGCTCTAACAAACTGCTACCCTGGTCAAACTCCAGAAAGCCACAGAGACTCCCTAGGCATCACACGACCTGATCAGGACTGCCAGGGAGATGGTCCTTAACATCAGGGTGGCTCCGAGTCTTCCCTGCCTTGCTTAGGACCAACTGGATGAGAAGGGTGGCTCCTGCTATGAAGTTTTCCAACATTTGGCAGATAGCAGCTCCTGCACCATAGGGTCCCCTCCAGACAGTTTTCTCCATCCTGATACTGTGTTTTATGCTAATGATTCTCTCTCTCTTCACAGCCTCTAATTCTTCCATTGAACTCCAAGTTTGGATGGCCCTCCTCATCCTGACCCAGATTTCACTATGGCATTTGGTGTATAAATCAGGCACAACCTCATAATAAACTCAAGGTTTCTATTTAAAGTACTGTAATTTACTTACTTCAACTCTTTGTAGGATTAAAAGTGTGTGCCCCTAAGTCAAAACCCATCCAGAAGTATTCAGCCCTTCAAGGCTGAAAACGGAGCAAAATGGACTGTCTGAAGCCAGGGAAATTCCAGGCTATTTGGATGACCGTGCACACCTTGGTGCTACTAAAAGCTAAGCGTGGAACTCATCCATCTTGCCTGAAATTTTAACTTGGCCATCTCCAAAAACTTTGGCTCCCCCCCAACAAGAAGCATTGGGAGTTGGGGAGAGGGGAAATGAAAGAAGTGAATGAAAATAGTGCTATTATTTCGAGAAGGGCAGAAACCCATGTAATCATCCAGATCAGTTATATGATGAGAGTGATTAAGACAAAGTCAGGAGGAAATAGCTGGAGAGTTTGTGTGGCTCTAAAAAATCTGTAAGGTGTTTGGAAGTGGTCCATCTGTGCACCATCAAGGGAAGGTCACGTTCACCTTCTCTCAAGCTCCTCTCTTCCCCTTGCCAGGGCAGCTTTGACCACTGGGTTTATCTTTTGCAGACCTGGGGATTCCTCCTCCACCACCCCAAACCCACTCTGTCCTCTTTTACAAAGCAACCAAATAATTTAATGTGTTTTATGCTTCAATAAACTTTTGTGTTCAAGTATTCTCACTTCTTGGTGGCTGGACTTTTTGTTACTCGCTGATTTGCATTCATTCCCTTCAGTAGCATTAAGTACTTCCCATGTGCCAGGGCAGTAAAAACCACAGCAAATGCAGGACAAACCCTGCCCTCAAGGAACTATAGCAGGAAAACAGCCTAGACACAGTTAAGAAGATACTACACACACACACACACACACACACACACACACACAGAGAAATGTTAAGGAATTTGGAGTGGTCGAGGGCATTAACATCCAGGGGCATCAGGGCAGGCCTCATGTAGGCGGCAGCATTTGAGCTGAGCCTTGAAAGGAGCTAGGAGACAGAGAAAAGGATAGAGAACATTCCAGGCTTTGGGGACAGACTGTGCATGACCCCAGGATGGGAGATGGGAGATAGACTGCCACATTCAGCAGCAGAGAATGTGGAGAGATAAGTATAATGAGCCCAGAAAGGTAGGCTGGAGCCAAATTGTGAAGGGCTTATATTGCCAAACAGAGACTTTTATATTTTATTGTAGAGAGGCAATAAGGAGTCTCTGAAGCTTCTTGAGCTGGGGAGTGACAAACCAGCACTTAGCACCATGCCTGGCACATAGTAGGTGCTTAATAAATATTTATCACTGACTGATTTTATAAGTCACTTTGACAGGGTATGATAGATTGGAAAGGAGAGTGACTACAGGCAACAAAGCCAACCAGGCCATTTTAATAGTCTAGGCAAGAGAGCCTGGGCAAGGGTGGGGAACACATGTGTGCAGAGGAGGGAAGAGGAATGGCATAAGGGTCATCATCAATAGGCTAGAGTTGACAAGACTTGGAGACTGATTGGAAATGGAGTAAGGGAAGAGTCAAGGATACTCAAAGACGGATGGTGGCGCCCTCAGCAAAAAGAGAGAAGCCAGGCCTACTCTAGTATTTCATTTATTTCTGCATTTCCTAAGCATTTGCTAAGTACCTACTATGTACAAAGGCACTCTTCAATCCAAAGAAGAAACATTCCCTGACCTTAAGGAACTTCCATTCTAGTAAGGATGGAGACAGGACAATAAGCATATACACAAATAAGTCAGCAAAATACATTTCATGAGAAAAGGAAAGTATCAGCAGAAAAGACAGGTGATGGCTGATCAGAGTGTTCACATACTTTTTAATGTA